AGGTATGCAGAGATAATCTCGATCCTGAGTTTCCAACCCTGGATGGAAGATCCAGCTTATTTCGTCTCCTTTTCAGGGTTGGTCAAGATTACTGCAATAAGCTACACATTGTTGTGGTGGAATGTAGAATGTCTGTGCCATTTCTCACACAAAAAGTTTCTGCTTTCAATTAAACTTGGCTTTCTTACATGGAATCTGGGGATCACCCCTGCCTCCTAATATTTGTTTTCTGGTTTCGCCATGTGTTCCCAAAGCTGCATGCTTTCGAAGTCGCGACTGCGAGTTGTGGTGATTTGCATTCTTACTGCCACTTGTCAAAATCTGCAGCACACACTTCCTTTTTGATTGCAACAATATGTTGTTGAAACTCTGAAAGCAATTTGAAAGTTTGGGCTCCAGATATCTGGACATCTGCAACTACCAGCTGTAGAACACAAGGCAGAAAGCATCAATGAAGACAGGCCCCTCTAAGCTGAAGCCATAGTTTGTATACGTCTGCAACCTGTGCATCATGCAACAGTATCTTATTCAGTACAGCTCCTCACTGCTAACTGGTAGAATGTATCCTTCCTTTTAATTTTCCTGCACATGAAACATAACCTCTTAGCTCATGGCCCTCTGGAGGGAATGAATTTCTGCTGTTCTTAGGATTGCAGATGGTGGTAGTGGAAGGGCAGAAGCAGAAGACATGAAAATCAACCCACCTAAGCTCACTCGAGGTCACAGGAAATTAAAGACTTGAAAGCAGCATAACTAAAAGGCAAAGCTCATCCTTGAAAGCAGCTGATAGAACAACAAGGTAAAGCAACTGGCGAAGCTATAACTAAGAGTCACAGAAAGTAGAGAGGGCAGCAAACATACCCAACGCCGTAAATTTGAGAAATGGCCTATTTTAACTTTAAAAACTATTACATATGATTAGCTTTCCAAGTGATTGTGTTGGAAATATTAGAGATCACTTCCAAAGGTGTTGTAAATTCTCAAAATTCTCAACACAGAGCTTAAAGGGTCAAAGCAGCAGAAAGCTAGTTCAATAGAGAGGTTAATAGAGTTTTTAAGAGCCTCTAGCCAATAAGATTATATGTGACACATTAGCACAAGCAGAACGTTGTATCGCTTCATAGCTTCTCATTAAATTGGTACCCTTATCTGGAAAATGTGTTCATTTCTTATCTAAATTATAAGGAAAAACAGTACATTTTCATTTTCATTTTCATGGCAATGCTGTCATATTCGTTTGTGTGATAAGTCTGATTTACATTGTTGTAGCAAACGTAACCACAATTTGACAAGCACTTTTCATGAAGACAATGAGGGCCAAATTTTTTCATCTGATTTTAAGAGACATCAACACTGGATATTTTCTGATTGTTATTTTTTTCAGCAGCTAGAAGGCACAAGTAAGCATTCCTGCTGTTGCAAGTCTCTCAATTTTGCAATGCTGTTTGAATTACCACATCATTTTGTAAGTGCAAACAGGAGAGTTTAAATGGTTCACTGTCCTAGGTCAATAATCCGAGCCTCTATTTCCAAGTGGATTCGGTCAGATAGACTGCACTTTGATTCCACATTGTCTCATGGAGTTTAGATAAACAGAAATACTAGGCACACCTAAAAATGAGCTGTCAACCTGTTGAAGATATCATCCTTAATTTTATTAATTTATGGGATTGGGCTTTACTGGCTGGGACAGCATTTATTGCCTATCCCTAGTGCCCTTGATAAGGTGGTAGTGGTAAGCTGCTTCAGTCCATTTGGTGTCAGAACACCCACAATACCACTGAGGCGGAAGCTTCATGATTTTGACCCAGCAACAGTTCCAACAATTAAAATCTATAGAAATGAGACTTTAAACTTGCACTGAATAATTTTCAGTTGCAGTGGTGTTGATTAATAATAATTACCATTTATTACACAGCTAAAAGGGTATTTATGCTTGAAATGACAACCTAAAACTTTCTGCGTTGAGTTTAGTTTCTGCATGAATATCACACATTTGCACCATTCAATAAATGTCGGTGGTTAATCAGACAGTGAACCATTGCTTTTACAAGTTAAACAGTGATGCTCCTCATCTTTCTCAGTGTGATAACACCTTTAAGGCCTGTGGGGAATCACTAATTAATCTTCTTGTGGAGCTTGTTGAGCATGAGTTCCCTTAGTAACTGGTAATGGTCTGCCTGGTTGGAGCTCATCACCTAAGCCCTTTATGAAGTAGACACTGATGAGGTGTCTTGTGGTGCACTTGTAGTCTTTGAACCAAGAGGTCTGGGTTCAAGTCTCACTTGTTCCAGAGGTGTGTAGTGGATTGCTGAACAGGTTGGTTAGAAAATAACTGAAAAATATAAATAAATAGAGCAGACCCTGCGTTGCTCGTATTGGGCTTTGCTTGTAAATACTTGATTGGCTACATTGGTGATTACTGGTGGTAGTTAAAGGGAAAATAAGTCATGGTTGTTTTGGTGGTGGGAAAATCACTCAGTTTACATAGTAGCACCTTGGAATATATAAAAAGAAGAATGAAGCAGACCCTCCCAGATTGCGGCAGTTCAGGGACTTTCAGCCAGCTTTTTATTTTCCAGTGTGTGGAGGCTGTGGAACATGTTTATGTTGGTGATAGGCAATTGCACCCCCTTTTTAGTCATTTGAAAAATCTTTGATTTGCTTTTGGCTGTGCTTCAGCTCTACTCTCCTCATCTTTCAGCAGCCAGGGTAGAGGGGTGTGAGCAGGTTGGAGGACCTCCTCATGGGTCTACTCCTGGACCTGGTCAGGCTGGCTAAAAACAGGTTCAGGCAGTGGACTGTGGAGGGGGCATATCTGCCGTCTGTCTGCTCCTCTTCTGCAGTTATGTTCATGCCCGGGTGTTCTTGGTGAGGGAGCACACGGTGTCCAGCAATACTCGCAATGCCTTCAGAGAAAATTGAGAAACCACAGAGCACATAGTGCTTTATCTCCCCCTCCAACTCCATTTTAATTTAACCCTTTCCCACTCTTCCTACTCCCTCCCTTCACTTTTAAATGATTCGCATTGCTGATAATGGACTTTGCAGGTAAATATCTCTGGCTACACAGATGTTTTACTGGTGGCAGTGGTTAGCATGTATAAAGTTGAGAAAACAGTCATGGTGATTTTGGTAGCCGGAAAGTTTCTCCGTTGTGCGTGATAGCGCTTCTGGCTAAGAAGAAAAATGAAGCAAATCCCTTTTCCTCCTCCAACTCTATTTTAATTTAGTCCTTACCTGCTCTCTCTATCCAATTTTCACGTCTGATGGTTCGCATTGCCCATATGGACTTTACATGTAAATGTCTAATTGGCTGTACGAATCATTGCTGGTGGTGGTTAAAAGTTAAAAACAAAAAAAAAGTCACAATGATTTTGTGGTGGAAAAATCATTTGGTTGTGAAAAAATAAATAATGCTAGCCCCTTCTTGTGGCACAGTGATATGTCCCTACCTCTGAGCCAGGAGGCTATGGTTCAAGTCCCACCTGCTCCAGAGGTGTGTAATGACATCTCTGAGCAGGTTGATTAGAGGAAAAAAAAGCAGACCTCTGTAAATAGGTCCAGACAATTGACTGCGGAGGGGTCATATCTGCTGACTATCTGCCCATCTTCCACGATTATAGTTATACACAGGTGACATTAGAGAGGGAGCACGCAGAGTCCATTAATGCTTCAATGCCTTTAGAGACAGGTAAGCACTGTGGGAGAAACAGTGCTTTATTTCCCTTCCGACTCTGCTTTGATTTAGCCCCTTCCCTCTCTTCCTACCCCCACCTTCATTTTTGCTAGTTCACATTGTCCATAATGGTCTTTGCATGTAAATATTGAATTGGCTGTACAGGTTTTTTTTTGGTGGTGGTTAATGCTTAAAAGAAAAGTCACAATGATTTGGTGGTGGAAAAACTGTATCTTGGTATGTGGTTCATCAGTCATCTCCACTGAACTATTTTAAGCTCTCAAGAATTGCTACATATAAGCATACAGTTTGTTACTTATATGTCTTAGGCAGCAAATTAGCTATTGATGTACAAATTCACATTGTAATAGTTGATCTGCTGCCCTTAGAGATCTTGTCAGGTTCATATCTAACATTTATGCTTTACTCTAGTAGTCAACTCTTGAACACTTGAATTTCTTTTTGTTGGTTCAGGAATTTGCCGAGAGATATATTCTAAAGCCTTCAGAAACACCTGAAGTGAGGTCCTGGAGCCAAGCTGACTGACCTCCAACACCATAACCATCTTCATTTGTGGTAGGTATGAATCCCAACAGCCGTGAGATTTCTCCCTGATTTCCATTGACTGTGGAATCATAGAATCAGGTAAGCCCACAGTGCAAAAGCAGGCCATTCAGCGTAGCGAGTCTGCACTGACCCTCCGATTAGCATCGGACCCAGGCCAAGCCCCTTACCCCATCTCTATAACCCTTTATTTCCCAATGCTAATCCATGCAACCTACACATCCCTGGACAGGACAGAGCAATTTAGGACTCCAGTTGTGCTAGGGCTCCTTGATTCCATATTCATTAAAATGTAGCCTTGATATCAAGGGCAGTAACTGTCACCTCATTTCTGGAGTTCAGTTCTTTTGTCAGTTCTTGAACCAAAACTGTAATCAGGTCAGGAGCTCAGTGGCCAAATAGAATCAGTGGGCAGGTTAGTACTAAGCAAGTTGCTTGATAGCCTGATCATGACCCCTACCATCACCGAGATTCATGTAGTCATGGGAACAGCAACAGTACGTACTAAGAACAGCTTCATTCTTTCATGATAATAAGTGTTAATATCACAAATATTAACTAAATATCACAATGCCATTGCAGGAGGAATTTATCTTTTAAGTATCCATTATCAGTTGTTTCTGCTATTACTTTTAAAATAATAAAAGAAGGATGCATGAGACATTTATAATTGTGTGGGGGGAGGAGAGGGGATGAAGATAAATCCAGTTTCCTATTAATTCATAGATATTAGAAAATAGATGACAAAAGAATAAAATGTTATACAGCTGGCTAACTTTATTAGTTTCTAGAAAAATGAACTGTCAGTACATAAATAAAGTACAAATACCTTCAAGGATAATGTCATTCCGCAGGTTTATATGATAAAGAAGGAAATTTTTCTTAAAACCAAGGTATGCATTATGTGTGACTTGAATATTATTCATACATTGACAGACTAATCGCATCCTAAGAGTTAAGATCATGTAAGTAATTTCAATAGTGTTTTATAATACAAATAAATACACATTAGGACCACTCTCCATTCTTTTTTGCCTTCATAGGCACATTTTTCTTTTCCCCTTCCTTGTAACAAAGAAAGCTAACACGGTGATTTTTCTTTATTCATTTTTCTGTTGTATACAATTTGGTTCTGGGATGCTCTCAATTATCGCCAGAGTCCCACTGCAGTCCAGCTACAGACCAGTTTTTTATGAACTGAATTTTCCTTTCTAACATTATGGTACCCCACCACGGCCAACTACTTACCACCTCTTCCCCCCCACCCCCAAACCTCACCAGCCTCCCTACTTCAGCAGTGCTCCTTTTCTGGCTTCTTCAACTGTAAAACCTTAAGCAAGTCCTCCAACTCTGTTTTGCATTCTTGGTCCATACAAAGCTGGCTGATTCGAGCTTCTCCCTGTTTGAAAATTTTCCATCGACCTAGAAAATACGTGTTTGAGAAATAAATAACATCCAGTAATTTCCTGTAACATTCAGTGACTATACACTGCAGTCTCAGACAATCACATCTGCAACGTGTGCCTGAAACTTGCATAACTTCACCTCCATTGCTAAGCATCAGTCTAAGTTACAAATATTGCAGGGCATCATGAAGAGGGAGGCTTATTTGTTCCAGGAGTCACAGACCCATTAAATGAGGCAGAACTTTAGAGTTGGTCAATGGTCTAGAACAGGAGAGATGACTGCAAGTCAGGCACAATGGGAAACCAGCAAGTATTGATGGAGTAGCCTCAGACCTGACATTGTTCAAGAAGTATAATATTTTTGACATATGTGAACAAGGAGAAGGACTGCAAGAAGAATAGACAGACTTACCATGGGACCATGGTGTAGAATGTCATCAAGTGGGTGGAGCAAAGAGGAATGTTACAGTGATAGGGGATTTTATAGTCAGGTTGAATAGATGCAGTTCTTTGCTGATAACTGTATGTTCTCAGACTCTCAGCCACAACCAGAACTTTCAATGATTGTGAGGCCTGTCCAATGCCAGGAGTTTTCCTTGCATTGGTAAGGAGTTTTCAGTGGGAAGAAGAAGAGCCAATTGTGACCCAAGCAGAAACCAAAATATCAATACAATATAATTGATATTTTGTTCAGAGAAATTGAGGAGCTAGGATGCAAATTAAACTGGAGAACATTAAACATCTCTGGAGCTGCTCACAATGTGGCCTTCTGTACACTGGGGAGACGAAATACAGACTGAGCAATCACTTTGCCGAACACCTGCATTCTGTCCCAAAACAAGACCCTAGCTTCCAGTTGCCTGCCACTTCAACACACCATCATGTTCCAGGCCAACATGAGCCTGCTACAGTGCTCCAGTAAGGTACAGCATAAGCTCAAAGAACAGCATCTCATTTTCCGCTTGGGGACCCTGCTCCCTTCAGGACTCAACACTGAGTTCAATAATTTTAGGGCCTGAACACTTTCTTCCATGTTCGTTACCCACCACAGATCCAGTCGTCACATGGGCTGCTTTTAGCACAGCCAATCCATTTTCACCCACTTTTGGTCCTCATTATCAGCTTTTCTTTCTCCCTGGCTTACCATTATCTATTCCATTGTCTGCCCAACTGCCTTTCTCTCCTCTGGGCTCTGTCTCCACCTATCGCTTACTACTTTACCACGCTGCCCCAACCCATGCCTTCAGCATGTATATCACCTTTTCTAGGTACCATCACTTTTGAAGAAGTGTCAGTGGATTCAAAATGTGAACTCTGCTTTCTCTCCACAAATGCTCCTAGACCTGTTGAGATTTTCCTGCAATTTCTGTTTTTGTTGGACAATCACCGGATTGTTACCTGTGCCAGTTGGCATCGGGTCAAATAGGCTGAAGGAAATGAAGGGATTAAATACTGACAAATTCCTGGACACAAAGGGTTACATCCAAGCGTTCTAAAAGATAGAGCTGCAGTGATAGTGAATGCACTAGCTATGATTTTTCAAAATTCCTAGGTTTGGGAATATTCCTATCAGGTTGGAAGTTGACAATATTTTATTCATTTACGGGATGTGTGCATTGCTGACTAGGCCAGGATTTATTGCCCATTCCTAATTGCCCGTGAGAAGGTAGGAATGAGCTGTCTTCTTGAACCACAGCAGTCCATTTGCTGTAGACAAACCCATATGTTGTTGAGAAGTGAGTACCAGGATTTTGACACCGCAACACTGCAAGATTTCTTTTCAAGAAAGCAGGAAATAGAGAACTATAGGCCACTTAGCCCAATATCAATTCTTGGGAAAATGCTTGGGAATCTCCTATCCCCATTTTAAAAAATAGTCTATGCCTCTATTCTTCCTACCAAAGTGTATAGCCTCACACTTTCTCACATTGTATTCTATCTGCTACTTCTTTGCCCACTCTCTCAGTCTGTCCAAGTCCTTTGCAGCTTTCCCTTTTCCTCAACACTACCTGTCCCTCCAGCTATCTTTGTGCCATCTGCAAACTTAGTAACAATGCCCTCAGTTCCTTCATTCAGATCTAGTGCGGTAGGTAAAGGGAAACAAATAAGTAGACTTTATATATCTGGATTTCCAAAATTCAATAAAATGCCACAGCTTCTTTTAATAGGCAAGATACGGGCATGTGGAGGTGATTGTACGTCAGCATAGATAGAGGATTAGTTAATAGATAGTCGGCGATAAACAGGGCAGTTTCTAGTTGGCAGGCAGTGCTGGGACCTCAGCAACTTACAGTCCACCTTCATCACTTAGATGAAGAGATGGAGGGAATGTGGTCTTGAAAGCTAACACAATTGAATCCAACTTTTTAGTTGATGAATGCAGGAATCTAATATGATTTTCCAGAGTCATTTAGAGTCTACATTTCATGATTCATTTATCACATGATAGCAACAAATTGGTAATCTTACCATAGCCATAAGGATAACTGTATTGGGGAATTGAGAAATATAATCCTGTCATGATCGTATCTTAGATTTATTACAATTCAGAAGAAGGCCATTAGGTCCACTGTATCCGTACCAGCTCTCTGAATAAGCATTATGACTTAGTGCCATTCTGCTTTTATTTTCCATAATGCATTATTCCAATTCAAATAATCATCTGATGCCCCCTTGAGTACCTCAGTTGAACCTGCCTCCACTACACGTCCAGACAGCACTTTTTAGACCTTAACTTTCGCTGTATTAGAAAAGTATTTCCTCACATCACATTTCCTTATTTGCAAATTGCTTTAAATCTGTGCCATTTCATTCTTGGCTCACTTATAGTGGAAACAGCTTTGCCCTATCTACTCTGACCTCTAATGATTTTGAACACTTCTGTCAAATCTCCTCTTACCTTTCTCCTCTCCAAGATAAACAGTTCCAACTTCTCCAATCATTCCTTATAACTCAAATTTCTCATCCTTGAAATTATTCTTGTAAACCTCTTCTGCACTGTCTCCAATGTGTTCATATCTTCGTTGAACTATACAAATACACTAGCTGAGGTCTAACTGGTGTTTTAAAGAAGTTCAGCATATGCTCTTTGCTCTTATACTCTATGTCCTTATTAATAAAACTTAGGATAATGAATACCTTTCCAGTTGCTCTCCAATTAACTTGATACCTTTAATGACTTAAGCCATTATACACACAGATCTCTTGGCTCCTGCACAACCTTTATAGTTTTTTTAAACTGTATTTCAATGTTCTTGCTACCAAAATACCTCAGCTTATGCTTTTGCCTATTGAATTTCATCTGCCATCTAACTGCCTGCTCCTTTTGAAATTTTCACTGTTCTCCTCACAGTTCACAATGCTTCCATGTTGTGTATCATTCAAAAACTTTGAATTTTTCCCCTGCACACTAAAGACCAGAACTTTGGTAAAGTAGGGTCTTAATACTAACCCCTTTGGAAACTCCACTAAGACCAAGAAGTATTCACTGACCATTAATTTCTGTTTCCTATCACACAGCTAATTTTGTACCATGTTGCTACCATCCCTTTTATTCCATGAGCTCTAACTTTGGCATAAATCTGTTGTGTGACACTGTACCAAATGCCTTTTGGAATTTCATGTACACAATATCAACAGCATTACCCTCATCAATGCTCTTCGTTCTCCCTTCAAAAACCCTAGAAAATTGGGTGAACAAAATTTTCCTGTAGAAAATCTATGACAGTTCTTTTTAATTAGCTCACATTTGTCCATGAGGCATTAATTTTACCCCATGTTATTGTTACTAGAAGTTTTTCCACTACCAAAGTTAGTGGTCCGTAATTTCTAGCCTTATCATTACGTCCTTTTTTGAATAAGGGCACAATGTTTGCAATTCGCCAGTCCTCCAGAATGTACCCATTCCCTACCCCATGAGTCTGAGAAACACTTGAGAATTATGGCTGTGCCTCCACAATTTCCAGATGTCCTTCAATATCCCTGCACACATGTCATCTGGTATCAGTGCCTTGTCAACTTAGTTATCAACAGCTTATCCAATACTTTGTCCTTATCAATTTTGAACCCTCTGTGACTGAATTTCTTCCTCTATCACAAATGCCTGAGTAGCATCTGCTTCCTTGGCAAGGACAGATACAAAATATTTATTTAATACCTAAGCCATGCCTCATGCCAACATGTTTAAAACCCCATTTGGTCTTTAATCAATTCTACTCTCCCTTTACTACTATCTATTTGTCTACAGAATACTTGGAATTTCCCCATAACATTAGCTGCCAGTCTCTTTTCACAATCCCTCTTTGCTTCTTTGTGACACATGCAGTACAATACTTTCTTCTTAGTTAAAGGCTTAGTTTAAGCTATTATTTTTGAGCAGAGTTTTACAGCAGTTGATCCACATTATACTTTTCATGACTGTGTACAGGAGTGCGTTCTTATTATGGTAAATTCTATATATGCATTTGTCAACTTAAACAGCGCAAAACACTTCTTTAACATTACTCCTTTTTAAAACATAATATCTTTCCTCTGGTTTCTTCCATTGTTGTTGTGTTTTGCGGGCCCTGAGATGTTATTACTTACTCTGAGTAGTCCGTGTGAGTGGTTTAAAATATCCAAGGTTAACCTGTTTCTCAAAGTCTCTTCTTGATATTTTTTCCACGTGAAAATGGTGTAGAACACCTGCCATGGAAAATAATGAATGCTACATTAAAGATTCTAACTTCTGAGTTAATATGTAAAACAAATCCACGTTTCAAAATTCCCTTTGGTTTATGTTTATAATTTCATGGCTTGTACATGAGGTTTGCTGGCAATCCCTCTTGTTCTTGAACTGACTGGCTTCCCACCGCATCTTAGAGGACAGTAAAAAGTCAACCACAGTGGAGTCACATGTAGAACAGATTGGGTAAGAATGGCAGATTCCCTTCTCTAAAGGACATTCATGAACAGGATGTATTCTATTACAATAATTAATGGTAGTTTCATGATCCCCATCACAGAGCCCAGCTTTCATTTCCAGATTGTTAATTGAATTCAAACTCCATGAGATGCCAAGGTAGAATTTGAATACATGACTGAGACTTTGAATCATTAATCTACTCAAGTTTACCACAAATCCACCATATATCCTGATTCAGTTATGAAGCTGGAAATCATCGAGTGTCAGTTATAACAGACATCATTCAACAAATGTAAAGGTCAACTCTTGAGAAACGCGTGTGAATTCTGTAGCAAATTTAACTCTTGTGTAACAATGTAAATAAGTACTCCATTCTGGAGCAGAGTGCTTTGATTTATACATTTCGTGACCCGTTTTACAAATTCTTTAATGCAGAAGGTGTGCGGTATAGCTACAACAGCTTCCAATTTGCACTCTGCATTAAAGGCTTATAGATGTAATCTTCTGTTCTATTTCAAGCCAATTGGAAATTGTACAGAATCAAACAATCTTAATACAGCTTTGATTCAATTGATATAAATCTGTTTTAAGGAGACATGTCAATGTTTGCTTCTATGTAGCTACTAATATGACTAATTTGGCAATATATCCAAAGGGTGGTACAATGTGGAATGATATCTTTACTGCATGTCACCATCTTTCACTACCAAGGTTTAACAAGACTATTAAAAAAATTGTGTTGAAGGATTTGGTTTCAAACCCTTTTTTTTTGTAGCGATACTGTTCAGGAGGTCATAAAAATAATTTGAGTGCACACTTGTTGGGCTTGATGGGCATTACTTTGGCTGGTATAATCAGCTGTTTCTTATATTCTGGCTATAATTACAGGAATAAAACAGTTGCATATCACTGCTAGGAATTTTTGGGATGACATATTTTCATATATAGTTTAAACTTTAAGCTACTAATGTCTTTTTTAATCAAACAAGTGCAAATTGCCGTGTTAAAATTACCATGCAATTCTCATGTCAACCTGAAATGGTTTTCAGAGCACGTTAACGTGACAGGTGCAAGTATGATTTGGGACAACATTTCCAATCTGACACCACACTTTGGAGACCTTTACAAATGGCTTGCAGGAGATCGATACATAAGTTCCAATCATTCCAAACAGATTCCATTTTTGCCAGCAGTGGGAAACAGGCAAGTAGAGAATCACACAGACAAAAAACCTGGGCTTAGCAAGGCAGGTAAACTCAGCAGAATTTAGTGCTGAGTTCAAACAGAGAAAATTGTCACGGTTTCAAGCACCTTAATCAACAGCGTGGAAGTCATAAATTTATGGAACAGTCGTAAAAGCTCTTAGATGCAAGGATCTGAAGTTATTCAAATCCCCAGATCTTTATAAACAAAAGGGAAAATCAGGCAGAAGCTGTGAGCTAGATTTTAAAACAATGGCTGTCAGACTACTTCACTTGTCAAACTATCTATTTACAACTTAACCTTGAACATCTGTTCCTGTGGTTTCAATACAGTTTAGTGTTGACATTTCCCAAAACCTTTCGTTACAGCTGTGTTCACTATGAATGCTTAGCTGGGATTTGAAGAATTACATCAGGACTCATATCAACAAGGATTAGCTGAATTCACATTTGGATTGACAGATTGAAGAAGCTATCAACAGATTAGCTGTCTTTGATGTCATCACTGAATGGAAGTTTGTTTCTTTCTATAACAGACCTAACACTTGAGAGAACTTTGAGTGGGTTTCATGACTGAAGGTTTTTTGGATACAAAGTGTGGGAAATGGCTAAGTGTGGGTATGAGGGAAAGCTCTATTAAATGTTAAGAGGCAGGTCAAACATCAATATGCTGTTCTCATACAGAATAAACTTATTGTTCCCTTTTACATTTGTATTCCTATGAATTATCCTGATGAGAGCAAGATGAAAAGGTTTAACAAATTATGCTCTTCTTTTTTCAACAAAGCTCAAATTCTGTATTAATAAATGACCATATTTGAAAGGTTTTGGCTCTGTTCAGTATTATGTGTGTAACCATCATGTACCAAAGTTTATATTTATCAAAAACATTCTCAAATCCCTCTTACTGTAGTTCCTCTGGAGATTTTTTTTTTACTGTGGCTGGGAGAGGCATATCTTCTACCATCCATTTTCTATTCTCTCTCCCATCATGTATCTTTTCTTTATAAATGACTCCTCTGATTATCAATCTTTTGTTGATGCTTTCAATCTACATTGACTAATTTTCTTCCAATCACACAGTTCCAGTGGTCACAACCTCTAATTGTCTCAAAGTAACGACTGAATCACTTCATCTTCCATTCTCTACAATGCAATAGCAACATTTTATTTCCTTCAATTTTTCGAAGATGCATTTTATTCCAGGAACTGCCAATTTTACCCTTTGATATTCCCACATTAAACTGCAATATCTCTTTCTTGATCTGTAGTTATCTACATGAAGTTCACTTTATTTGTTCATATCAGATTTATCTGCCTTGTTAACCAATAACTCTGTATAAAGCTCAAATGATGGGAAACTTGATAAGAAATTGTCACCTGACAATCTCTAGTCTCTAATCTATCTTTTCCAAACACAAACTGTCTGGTCATTTTTACTTTTTTTTATGATATTATGGTCTGTTTGCCTCTGAGTATTTCACTCTTATTGAGTAAAGAATTTGAGTTGAGTGCCAAACAGGAGGAACAAAAGAGAAGTACAGCACAGGAACAGGCCCTTCGGTTCTCCAAGCCCGTGCTGAACATCATGCCTTAACTAACCTAAAAAAACAAACCTTCTGCCCTCACTCGATCAGTATCTCTCTATTCCGTCCCTATTCATTTAACCATCCAGATGCCTCTTAAATGTTGCTAATGTGCCTGCTTCCACCACCTCTTCTCCCAGTGCATTCCAGGCTCCTATCATTGTCTGCACGAAAAACCTCCCTTGCACATTTCCCTCAAACTCACCCCCCTCACCTTGAGCCTGTGTCCCCTTGTAATTGAAACCTCAACACTGAGAAAAAGCCTCTGACTATCCACCCTATCTATGCCTCTCCTAATTTTGTAGACCTCTACCAGATCTCCTCTCAGCTGCCATATTTTCAGTGAAAATAGTCCTGGTCTTTTTAACCTTTCCTCATAGCCAATGCCCTCAAGACCAGGCAACATCCTGGTGAACCTTCTCTGCACTCTGTCCAAAACTTCCATGTCCTTTTGGTAGTGTGGCAACCAAAACTGCACGCAATACCCCAAATGCACCCTAACAGGGGTTTTATATAGCTGCAACATGCTTTGCCAACTCTTGTACTCCATGCCCTGGCCGATGAAGGTAAGCATGCCATTTGCCTTCTTAATCATCTTGGCAACATGTGTTGTCACTGCACGCCCAGATCTGTCTGTATGTTAATGTTCCTAAGGGTTCTGCCATTTACAGCAAAATTCACACCTAAAATTAATCTTCCACAATGCATTATCTCATATTTGTCTGGATTAAACTCCATCTGCTATTTCTTTTCCCAAGTCGCCAATCTATGCATATTTTATTTTATCCTTTCACAATCATTGGCACTATCAGCAACTCCACCAATCATCATGTCATCTGCAAACTTACTAAATCAAACCACTCACATTTTCCTCCAGATTATTTGTATGTACTGCAAACAACAGAGGACCTAAGACTGATCCCTGTGGAACACCACTAGTTACCGGCCTCCATTCTGGAAAACACCCTTCCATCGCTACCCTCTGTCTTCTAGGGCCAAGCCAGTTTTGTATCCATCTAGCCAGCCCACCCGGAATCTCATGTGATTTTAGTTTTTGTACTAATCTACCATGTGGGACTTTATCAAATGCCTTACTAAAGTTCATATAAACTATATCCACAGCCTTTCCCTCATCAATTATCTTGTCACCTCTTCAAAAAATTCAATCAGGTTGGTGAGACACGACCTTCCCCATACAAAACCATGTTGCCTGTCACTAATTAGTCTGTTTTCTTCCAAATGTGTATATATCTTGTCCCTCGGTATCTTCTCCAAGAGCTTCCCCACCACAGACGTCAGGATCACCTGCTTATATTTTCCTGGATTATCCCTGCTTCCTTTCTTAAACAAGGGAACAACATTGGCTAATCTCCATTAGAACATTAGCTGCATGCTGTATCAATCACTGAAAGTAGACACTCAGGTGCAACAGGCAGTGAAGAAGGTAAGGTTGGCCTTCATAGCAAAAAGATTCAAGTACTAGAGTAGGGATATCTTGCTGCAATTCTATGGGGCCTTGGTGAGACCACACCTGGAGTATCGTGTGCAGCTTTGGTTTCCTTATCTGAGAAAGGATGTTCTGCTATGGAAGGAGTGCAACAGAGGTTTACCAGACTAATTCCTGCGATGGCAGCTCTGAAATATGAAGAGACACTGTATCGGTTAGGACTATATTTACTGGAGTTCAGAAGAGTGAGGGAGGAATCTCACAGAGCCCGATAAAATTATAACAAGACTAAACAGGGTAAATGCAGGAAGGATGTTCCCAATGACCGGGGAGTCCAAAACCAGGGGTTACAGTCTCAGGATAATGAGATAAGCCATTTAGGGCTGAAATCAGGAGAAATTTCTTCACTGAGAGTGGTGAGCCTGTGGAATCCTCTGCCACTGAAATTGGTAGAGGGCAAAACATTGAATGGAGGAGAAAAAAAAACATTTTCAAAGAGGAGACAGATATAGTTCTAAAGGGATCAAAAGATACAGGCTGGAAAGAGGAACGGGGACTGAGTTGGATGATCGGCCATGATCATATTGAATGGGTGAGCAGGCTTAAAGGGCTGAGTGGCCTATTCTAGCTCCTGTTTTCTATGCTTCTATCTGAATACAGCCTGACCAACACATCATTCAAGTTTCCCAAATCCCTTTTAAATTCAGACCTCACTAACACTTGGCCAACAAAATGTTGAAGAAAAATGGGACTTTGTTCCAGGTTGTCAGTTTCTTTCATGATTAGGTGACAGCAAGTAAGGGTTTTTTTTTGGAGGACAGTTGGGTTTGCAGATGCCAAACAGGCTCAAGAAATGGCCAGTAGCAAGTCAGCAAATTGATGAGAGGATCACATAGATTATACAACACAGAAACCTGCAATAAAACCCAACCACTCCATGCTGATATATACGCTCACTCTGGGCTTCTCTTGTCTTTGCTCATCTGACTCATCCATTTTCCCTCTCCTGATAAGTCCATAAGACCATAAAACACGGAGCGGTTCAGTCCATTGAATCTACGCCACTATTCAATGAGATCATGGCTCATCTGATAATCATCCACTCCACTTCCCTCCCTTTTGCCTGCAACCCTTGATTCCTTATTGATTTAAAAACATATCTATCTCAGCCTGGACTAATTGACCTACTTTTGCTCCTGTGTCTTATAGTTTTCTCCCAACTTTCTGTCTTCTATTAGTTAGCCAATTCTGTATACATGCTAATACACTACCTCCAACACCATTGGCACTTATCTTAGTAAGTAGCCTAATGTGTGGTCCCTTACCAAACACTTTCTAAAAATCAAAATATATGACATCCATATTTGCCTGTTTCTCTTTTTATACTACAAAGCTAGCTAAGCTTCTGCTTATCATCCTTTAACATCACCAGTTGAACCTCACAATGCTCAGGCAAATAGTACTAACATATGCTATGCATTCTCTGAGCATTTCTTTTTGAAAGCAATATGTTTTCATTCACTTGGCTGGATCAGCTCTCTGACAGTTCTTCCATTGTAGATCCAATATTCTGATCCAGAATGGGCAAAGTCTGTTGAAATGTGACCTGAATCTGTTCTGGAATTCCAACTGAAACATTCAAGGTTAAAATGGTTGAAGCATGCAAGATGGGTGCCAACGCAAGTTTTTACAGTTATTGAGCAGCTTATCCAGTGACCCTTAAAGGTCCCTTTGGAACCCTCTTACAAAAGGTATGTTTTCAGGAATTTTGAAGATTTCTGTGGGGCCAAGAGAAGGAGAAGTGTTCCTGTATGTTACACTGAAATCTTCCAGCCTGTTCTCGCTGCCGAAAAACATTTATTCCACCCCACCCCCCCAATTACCACCGTCAGGCCTTACATGCAATAGTTGGCCAATTTGGACACCATTTGGAGTCAATTTTTGTGGATGTGGTGCCAATCAAACAGGCTGCTTCATCCTGGGTGAGTTGAATGAGAGCGAAGGCAACATTTTAGCATATATAACAATTATTAGCTTTAACATTGTGGTCTATAAAACTCACCTTTTACTAGAGGCCAGACATGGACTTCTACATCTGGAAGACTGTCAATCTCTATAGCAATTTTCTTGCTGTTTTTCTGAGAATCTGTTTCCTGGCTCAAGTGTGATTCATAAACGAGAACAGTCTCTTCACCGCATCCTACTTCCTTACTGTCATCTTGTGAAAAGTCTGGTACCTGTGGTGCTGTGGAATGAATAATGTGTCTTCAGTTATAGCATTAGCTGTCAGCACTAGCTTTATTTTCTTTGAACAGTATCTGATAGCTAAATCCTAAATGCTATTTGATTGAAATTAGTAGCATGATCTAAATGAGATTAGATCAGAGGCGCAAGTATAGACTAATCCATCCATCAAGACTGCTCCACCATTTAATAAGATCAGTGCTGATCTGCTTGCGACTTAATATCACTTTCATGCCTACTGCCCCATAACCTGTTCCCTTGTCAATCAAAAATCTATCTATTTAAGCCTTTAATATATTCAATAACAGGCTCCAGTACTCTCTGTGGATGAGAATTCCAAAGACTAATTATGCACTGAGAAAGGAGAATCCTCCTCATCTTGAATGGGAGATCCTTTGTCTTTAACTGTATCTCCTAGTTCTAGATTACCCCAGGGAAGAAAACATCATCTCAAAATCTGCCCTGTAAAGCCCCTCAGAATTTTATACTTTTCAATAACATCACCTCTTATTCTTCTAAACTTCATTGAGTATTGTCTGACCTGCTCGTTCTCAAAAGATAACCCCTTCATCCCAGAGATCAGCCTAGGGAACCTTTTCCAAACTGCTTCCAATGCGATTTCTTATGTAAGGAGACCACAGCTGTACAAAGTATACTGGTGAAATCTCCCCAGTGCCCCATATAGATGCAGGAAGACTTCCCTATTTTTAAACTCAATCCCCTTTGCAATAAGAGTCAATATTCCATTTAAAAACCGAAAGAACTGTGGATGCTGTTTTCTCCTTCACAGATGCTGCCAGACCTGCTGAGCTTTTCCAGCAACTTTGTTTTTGTTCAATATTCCATTTGCCTTCCATATTTATTGTTGTGAGACAAGAATACCCAAATTATTCTGTATTGGAAAATGATTCAGTCTTCATTTAAATAATATTCTGACATTCTATTCTACCTACAAAATGGATAACCTCAAATTTTCTCACATTATAACCCTTTTGCCAATGTTTTTCCTAATCACCTAACCTATCTGTATTGCTTTGCAGACTGTTTGTATCTTCCTCACAACTTGTTTTACTACCTAGTTCTGTATCATCTGCAAATTTGGCTACAACATTGTCAGTCATTTCATCAAAGCTGTTAATATAGATATTAAATAGCTAATGGCACTTGCATTGATACCTGTGGCACTCTAGCAGCTACAGTAGATCCTTGGTTGTTCAGTTGATAAGTGATTTTTTTTTCTGTAACACAGCCAACAGACTATGAAAATTCTGGAAATTCTCATTAGTGGGGCTCTAACATTAGGTCAATGGACAAGGTTTGGGAGTGGGAAAATCCTTTCAGATTTCCTCCCAATTAACGATCAGCAAATTATTTTGTAAAGTGCACATGCAGAAATGTAATTTAAGGACAGAATGGTTTTGATGCCGTTCTTAGAAAATGTTTTCTGACATTCCCTGTACATATTCACAAAATAACATCAACTACTGAAGCTATGGAAATATACATGGGCATGATCCAGAGCTGTACAGGATGGAGAAAACGGGGATTAAAAACTTTAAATGAAATGGAATTGCGAGTTTCAATTGAAAAGAGTTAATGCAGTTTGAGATTAACAAAGACTCCCAAATCTGATCCTCCACAAATTTCTAAACATGATTAGCCTTCAGTTAGAGCTTAGATAAAAACATTTCTACCTGGACAAACTTTGCAACATTTTCCATTGATTTTCTGTGGGTATTTACATGGGTAGGGATCTGGACAATGGATCTTCTTACACTCCTGTTTGCTTATGTTACAAGTACACAGCACACATTCCATTAGTCCAAATGGGCGCAAGACTGGATGCCAGGATTCTCCATGTGAGTAGGTTTTCCCATTTGAAACACAAACTGAGGACATAAGAAAAAGATGCTTAATCTTTTGAAGAGCAATTGATTGTCTTACATGGTGCTCTATAAGTTTCTAACTAAATATAAATTTGCTTTACTGTGATTAACATTGGTACCTGCATAATTGAATAATTTTCTGTATTTTTCAATTTAGGAAATGTACACTCTATGATGATTGTGATTCAATTATTCAAGTCAGTACATTTTTCCATTTCTGAAGAAGGGTCTAGGCCCGAAACGTCAGCCTTCCTGCTCCTCTGATGCTGCTTGGCCTGCTGTGTTCATCCAGCTCTACACCTTGTTATCTCAGATTCTCCAGCATCTGCAGTTCCTACTATCCCTGAAACATTTTTCCCTCATTTTGGGGATCTGATTGCTCATAACTCATAAGGATTATTCTTACTGCAACTCTGTCCTTTACCTTTTCACAGACAAATATTACTATAGTGAAAAACTATCGTAAATGCAAAGATAAAAGTTTTAAATTTGATGTAAATGGGCTGAGTTTTGCCTTAACCCAGCCAATTTGATTCAATTAATGGGATTTTACTAGCCAATGCTTAACTGATAATGTAGATATAGTTGGCAAAACAATGAAGAAGTTAACTTATGTTCAATATGAATAAATTGTTGCATGGTTTTAGCCAGATAAATTTCAGTAATGCTTCTGCACACCTTGGTTCCATACCAACCTGCATCTAAGACCCAATAAATGTGTCACTGTGGGGGAGGGAGCATTATCAAGCAAGGCAAAATTCCACATATAGATTTTTCAGTAGTTTGGTTTGGAGACTATTAAACATGCTAATGTGTTTCTGTGCGTGTCAGACATATGGCTGGCCAAAAACAAATCATGTCATTTTGCCCAGAATAGGATAATTACAAAGATTGAATTCTTTTAGTCTTTCAGTGACAGACATAACCCTAACAGCTACGGTGAGCGTACTTAGACTACATTAACTGCAGTGGTTCAAGAATGTGGCTCACCATTAACTCTTCAACTGGAGTGGACAATTAATGCCAGCCTCCCAATGATACATATAAACAATGAATAAGTAACAATGATTTCTGAATTAATTTTACAAATAAGGGCATTTTGACAAAAGAGGTCACATATTAGTGTGGCTCCATTCCATTAGTGGTTGGCAGTCTGAGCTGTACTCAATATTCAATATAGCTCTGACAAAACCAGACCCAAGAGTTAGCTGAAACAAATCCTGCATCAGTAGACCTAATATAATAAATGGATTTACATTGACTTTACCAGGTAGAAAGAATAGACACAGATGGAGAATCAATTATAATCATTAGCTTTTTGAGATATCAATCAAATAAACAATAGGCTGAACCTTTTTTTTGGTTAAGTGTCTGTTTCGTTGGTTGTTTAGAGGATTTTTCACCACAGAGACCACTGAGATTTCCCACCACATCTTACCAGACTCATTTCATTAGCTATCCCGCGTCTGTAGTGCCCTTTTGCCCACATTTAGACCCATTTTGCCATGTTCTGTTCCCAGAACAATTCACTACTCAGCAGATTTGCTGAAATCTCAGTGTCCCTGGTACCCATACCATCTTTAAAAGGCCACTGTGCACCCAAGCAAGCACTGGCAATCTGGCACTGTGCCCCACCGGCAATGTAAGGGCACAGCAGCCACAAAGTCACACTGCTCACGCCATATAGGCTAACACCCCATCAGATATACAATCGCATTCTCTTACTGTAGTCACCGTTTATCCACCACAGCATACTGTAACTACATCCCATCTGAACACCCTCTCAAGATCACCGTATTCTGTCCCCAATGCCCACTGGAGACTTACAGTTTGTCACTTTCTAATAAGGGGCCATCACATGGCAAACAAGCGGATAATCCATGCATAAGCTTTTATTTACAGGCAGCAAAATCAAGTACAAATGAATGAATACAGACTGCAGTTCAACCCCACATTGCAATTCAAATGAACAGTGACCATTTAGCATTCTACGATGGTCTGCTGCCCCCAGCTCCCATCTACTGGACGCGGATGTTAATCAGGTCTTATCTGGTTCGTAGCACCCAATTCAGCTGAACACTGCCATGGATAAGAAGGACTTCCTCCTTCCCAATGTACTCATCCCCCTCTTTAGAAAACTGCTTCCATTCTCCCAGCTCCCCAGCATCCAGCACATCATCTCATTGACTGCTCCAGTTGTGTTCTAAGAGCAAAATACATCAGGATGTTGTGGAACACTGTGTGACGTATACATTAGGGACCATGACCCCACCCCTCCTCCCGCCCAACAAGACTGGTCCAACCAGTGGAACCGTATCTTCAGCAGCCCTATCGCTGCCCCACCACAGCCTTGGTCGCAACATGTATCCCAACCTGGTGAAGGTGCCATGCCAACTGAGTGACCAACACATCATATTAGAAAGGGAGTGCCTGCTGCTTGATGCCTTTCCCATCCTAGACCCACATCAATCATTCAACCTTTTATTACATTCAGTAAAGTCCATTTTCATACTTACATGACATATGTTGAAGAGGTGTTCCCCTCCTCCCATAGCACCTTTGGAGGTATCAGAAGTTATGGGTCTCTTTTGGCCAGCAGGCATCTCGTTTTAAGTCACTGCCACTAACTTGTGCATCCTCGAGATGCCAATGTTCTTTTAGCAAGCACCAATGACACGGTACAAATTATCATTGACCAGCATTTGAACGCTAAGTACATTCACTCTGCGTGCATTGTAAATGGCTAATGAAATGACTGGAATTTAAATTAGTTAAAGCTTGCAAAAAGCTGTTTCATGTATTTGTCCCAGCATGCAGTGGATATGGATCCTGCAATTTTGCCCTTCAAACTGACAGTGACTCTGCCCACTCTTGGTGTTGTCTCAGCCATTTTCCAGTTTTTGCTAGCATCTAGAGAATGACAAGTGATGGTAGGGAATACAACTTGTGGTTAGACCCCATTGGTACTGGGCTGAGCTTGTTGCCAAGTAACCCCCAAAACATTCAAAGCCTCCATTTCCTCTTTTAACTAGCACTACCCTGACTGCCCATTTCCATCCATTCACCCCATGGAGAGACCCACCACTTTGATCTTCACTTCCAATTGACCTCCCAACTGAGCCACCCATTACATTATAATGATGCCAGTCCTGGTCCTCTATGCTCCCCTTTGTGAAAACCACAATGATAGTCACTGCCATTAACTCCCCTCTCATAGGCCTACCATGCCATCCCATGCTGTTCCACCTACCCCAATTATACCTTAAGCTTTCCCACTGTCACTGTCTCTGTCTCAAACTCAATACTTGCCTCTGCTTTCCCCAACCCCAGTCTTGACTGTCTTTAGGCAGTGATCCTCATTTGCCATTGCAGCCCACCTTTGTATTTTCCTCAATGATCAATGCACAGACCCTTAAGACTGTATTTACTGTAGACCTCTGACAATGTCAACAAATAATTTAGACGTCACTGCCAAGCCACAGACCACTATCTTGCCACTCCCTGACTGACCATACATGATTCCCGTGACAACTTGAGGTGGCCTTGCAGTACGAACCATCACCCACTCCCCAAACTGTGGTCAGACATACCTACTGACCATGACTGGCCCAAGCAGACAACTGACCATGGCCACATCCCTGGACTCTGTGCGGATTGTGCCTGTGGCTGACAGTGGCAGGACCTCTGATTAACAGAAGCATCCGCTTGATTGGATGAATCCCCACCTGCTTTCCAATGTGGCCATTTGTTTGAATGAACATGCAGTGTGTTTCCTGTGCAGGCAGCTGGCCAATGCACTGAGTGTTAGATTGACATCTCAGTGTACTGTACAACAAGTCCCCCAATGGATAGATCCTTACTGACAAAAAGGACAAGCGGCCTGTCTGTGTGTCTGCGCAAAATAATATATCAATATGGCAGTACTGATAGCCCTTAGGCAGGCACGGCGTGACATAATAAGACATGAATGCTGTGAGCATACAGACAGATGTTAAGTAAGAAAGTGCTAAGAGAATAAGTGAGATGTAGGGTGGTCTGCAAGATTAGATTTAATAATGAACAATGAGACAGGCTTAGTTAACAGCCTAATGGTAAGTGAACATTAATCATATAGTAATCATAATAATCAAGGCTGTGCTTGATATATTTCACATTACTTAAGACATCAAGGGATGTAGCAATAGCATGGGAATATGGCCTTGAGGTAGATGCTGAGCCAAGACCTAGAATATCACAGAAAACTCAAGGAAGTTAATGAGCCTACTCCTTCTCCTATGTTTCTAATATGATCAAGCTCAAACCTATTTATGCAAGCAAGAAACATGATATAGCTACAAAAGGCCAACATTTTTAAAGAGCTGTGGCATGGAGACCCATCCAGGTGGGAATTAAAAATCATGGACCCAGAGGTGATTTCAAAGTCCCAACACCGCTGGAAAAGCTTTGACTTTTGAAAGGACCAGCAAGGGAATGCAGTGTGCAATGCAGTGGTTGAAAAATAATGGCCTGTTATACTCTTTCAGGAGCTTCTTAATGGGCTTGTACATTCAAGATTACAGTTACTAAACTGTTTTCCTGTGTGTCCTAACAGTCTTGTGCACTTTAGTGTGCAGTTTTTGGGTTTACCGTATGGACCAAGTAACTTTCTTTGTAAACGTTTCCTGAGTATTGTACAGGGTTAGGAAAGAGTTTGCTAACATTTTTTTTCTGAAATTGGCCACTTTTGCATCTTTCATAAAGGAATGAGCATCGATGGTTCTTTCAGTTGTTTCTCACTTATCTGCATACATTGACTTCAATTAAAAACATCAATAATGAAAAAACAATTGATTGAAATTAAGCTTAGCACTTAACTAGTGAAATTTCATTACCTCTGCCATGTCTGTGCTTATTATCAATCACTATTTGCACAATAGTACCAGATCCTTGCTGAGGATCTGTTAGTATGCCTTGATGAATCCTCGAGTTGGAAATTCTGGGTAAATTGGCAACAGAGCTTCCAAAACCTCCCCGAGATTCATGTTGAGTCCGCTGGTATGAATGTCTCTATTTGAACAAAAGTTAGAATGCCATTAATTCAAATGTGTACATTGTACTGTAACAACAAATAAAGTGTTCTGATTTAACATATCACATTCTGCATCAAGCATGAAACAACAATTTCTTCCTACTACCATTATTAAGCTTTCGACATCTCAATATTCCCTCCAAAATCATGCACTTTTCTCAGTGCATTTTTAATGGCCATTGATTGGCCGTGTGTTACCCAGCAAGTGTAACTATTTCAAGTTTGTTGTGCCACCTGTTTTCCATTTCTACTGATCATTAGAATTTGCTGGAATACGGTGTGAATGTAACATCAAAGCTTCCCTTTTGACTGAATGGCACCAAGGAGCCCTCGTAGAATAAGGGTTACTGGAAATCGGGGAAAACCTCTCCACTGGTTGAGTCATACTCATCATATAGAAAAATGGTTGTGGTTGATGGAGGTCAATCTCAGCTCCAGGAAAGCTCTGCAGGATTCCTCCGTGCAGTGTCCTACGCCCAACCAGCTTCAGCTGCTTCATCAATGACTTTCTCTAAATCGTAAGGGCAGAATTGGGAATGCTCACTGATGATTATAAAATGTTCAGCACCATATGGGCCCTCTCAAATACTGAAGCCATCCAAATCAAAATGTAGCAAGACCTGGACAATAACCAGGTTTGGGCTGACACGTGGCAATAATATGTCCAATGATGTGCAAGTTTAGGTGGATTGGCCATACTAAATTACCCGTAGTGTTTAGGGATGTGTAGGTTAGGTGTGTTAGCTTTGGGAAATGCAGGGTCACGAGGAAATGGTAGGGGAACGGGTCTGGATGGGATGCTGTTCAGAGGGTCGGCGTGGACTTGTTGGGCCGAATGACCTGTTACCACACTGTAGGGATTCTATCTAATATTCAAGACACATAAGTGCCTGGCATTGATCATCTCCAAGAAGAGAGAACCTAACCATCACCCCTCAACATTTAATGGCATTGTTATCACTGACTCTTCCACTATCAACATCCATTGTTACCATTGATCAGAAACTGAACTGGTTGAGCTATACAAATACTTTGGCTACAAAAATATAGGAAACCTATAGTGGATACCTCACTTCCATATTACCCAAAGCCTGTTCGTCCACCTACAAGGCACAAATCAGCAGTGGGACTGAATACTCCCCAATTTCCTAGGTTAGTGCAGCTCCAGTAACATTCAAGAAATACTATCAATGGTAAAACAGCCTGCTTGATTGACACTACATCAACAGTATACCATCTATACGATGCACTGCAGAAATCCACCAAGATGGATAGCTAGAGTCTCTTTAAATGTTAAAAAAGGAAGAAGTGAACATAGTCCCCTTGAAGATTGAGCCTGGGGAAACAATAATGTGAAATAAGGAAATGGCAGGGGAGTTGAACAAACACATCAGTGCAATAAGCATAAATCTTCATAGTAGAGAACACTAATAAAATTCCAAAATGCTAAACAATGAAGGACCAAAAGGAGGAAAGGAAATAAGTACAATGACTGTAACTAGAGAGAAAGCGCTTGGAAAGACATAGGGGCTAAAGACCAATAAATCTCCTGGACTTGATGGGCATCCCAAAGATATCATAAAAAGTAGCTACAGAAATCATGGATTCAATGGAAGTAATTTTCCAATAATTTTTACATTCTGGAAAGCTACCAGAGGATTGGAAAACTTCCAATGTAATACCTTTATTTAAAAAGGAAAGGAGATTTTCAAAAAAAAAAGGTAACTATAGGCCAGTTAGCTTAACATCTGTTATTGGGAAATGTTAAAGTCAATTATGAGGGATGTCATAGCAGAGCATGTAGAAGTACATAATGTGATCAAGCAGAGCCAGCATGGCTTCACAAAGGGTAAATCATGCCTCTTTGAGGAGGTGAAAAGCATGATAAATAAAGGGAAGCAGTGGATGTAATATATTTTGGATTTCCATCGGGCTACTTAATATTATGGTGCCCATGGTGATGGAGATAGTATATCAGCATGGATAGAGGATTCATCAACTCATTGAAGAAAAAGAGTTGGAATACGTTGGGGGAGACATTTTCATGATGGCAACCTGTAACTACTTACATGTCACAGGAATCAGTGCTGAGGCCACAATGTATACTGTTGACTTGGATGAGCAGAGTGAATGCACTCTGGCCGAATTTGTACATGGCACAAAAATAGGTGGGAAGATCAGTGGTGAGGATGTCACAAGAGACTGCAGAGAGATAGAAACAGGTTAATCAAGTGGGCAAAAACTTAGCAGTTGGAATATAAAATAGGAAAATATGAGGTACTTTGGCAGGAGTAATAAAGGAGCTAAATATTAGTCAAATGGGTATAGACTGAAGAAAGCTACAGCACAGAGGGATTTGGGAGTTCTTGAGCATAAACCTAGCATTCAAGGTCAGCAGGCATAAGGAAGGCAAATGGAGTGTTACTCTTTTATTTCAAAGGGAATAGATTATAAAAATAGCGAAATTTTGCTAAAGATCTTCATACACTAGTTAAACCAGACCTGGAATACTGTGTACAGTTTTGGCCTACTTTTCTAAGGAATGATATACAGGAATTGGATGTTGTCCAGAGAAGGTTCACTAGGTTGATCCTGAGTATAGAAGGATTGTCCTATGAAAGGTATTGATCAGGTTGGACCTGTACTCATTGAATTTAGAAGAATGACATTATTGAAAAATATAAATTTCTTAGGAGTTTTTACATGATAGATACAGAAATGTTGGCTTCCCCTTGTGGAAGCGTCCAGGACCAGGTGGCATAATCTCAGAGTAAGGAGTCATCCATTTATGATAGAGATAAGGAGGAATTTCTTCTCCAAGAAGGTAAGGACTCTGTGGAATTCTTTGCTGCAGAGGGCTATAGAGGCTGGGTCATTTAGTATATTCAAGGCACAGATAGACATATTTTTAATCTGTAAGAGAATCAAGGGCTATATAGAAAAAACACTGAAGTGGAGTTGAGAATTATCAGATCGGTCACAATCTCATTGAATGGCAGAGCAGACTCAATGGGCTGAAAGGCCTACTTCTGGTACTAAGTCTTATGATCAAGGCTCCTTCGACAGCATCTTCTAAGACCATGAGCATTACCATCAAGAAGAGCAAGGGCAGCAGATGCATGGGAACGCCATCACCTGCAAGTTACCTTCCAAGCCAGTCACCATACTGACTTGGAATTAATTGAGTATTACTGGGTCAAAATCCTGGAAATCCCTCTCTAACAGTATAACAATAATGGCCTGCATCTGTTCAAAAAGCAGCTCATTACTACCTTCTCACGGACAATGGGGAGGCAATGGCCTAGCGGTATTATCATTGGGTTATTAATCCAAATATTAATGTTCAGAGGACCTGTGTTCAAATCCTGCCATGGCAGATGGTGGAATTTGAATCCAATTAAAATGGAATTAAGAGTCTAATGATAATCATGAAACCATTGTTGATTCTTGGGGAAAAAAAGCCATTTGTGGTCTGGCCTACATGTGACTCCAGAACCACAGCAATGTATTTGACTTTTAACTGCCTTCTGGGCAATTAGCGATGGGCAATAAATGCTGGCCTAGCCAGGGGTGTCCTCAGCCTGTGAATGAATAAAAAGAATCTGGTGCAGCTAGTGAAGAACGCAGCTCATGAATGAATATAAATAAACCATAGGGTTAGAATGTAAACATTGCACAGTAACATGGCCATCTGAACTTCACATAGGTAGTAGTTTTAACAAGACATTTGGCTGAAGAAAATCAACTTTTGAAATAAAATAATAAGCTTTTGGTCCCAAAATCAGAAATTGTTGGAGAAACGCAGCATGTCAAAGAACATCTATGCAGAGAAAGTAAAGTTTCAGGTTCAGTGATTCTTCACAAGAACTGACCGTAGCTAGGAAAAGGTTGGTATATATGCTGAGAATGGGGTGGGGGGGGAGGGGGTAGAAGTAAATGACAGGTAGAGATGGAACCCAGAGAGAGAGAGAACAACAGTTGTGCAGACAAAGGACTGGGTAAGGGTCAGCCTTGGGAGAATGAATAGCTGTTAATGGAGATCATTTATTGCTAACAATGGGTTGGTTGTGGCAGCAGCTGACGTGATGACAAGGCCTGGTGTGTTGGGCTTGGGGGAAGGACACAGAAAAAGATACTCAGGCCCTAAAATTATGGAACTCGATATTGTGTCCTGAAGTTTGCAGGGTCCCCAGGCAGAAAATGAGATGCTACAATCAGTTTTAATCAATTCTGAAGAAGGGTCACTGGACCTGAAATCTTAACTCTGCTGTCTATCCACAGATGCTACCAGACCCACCCCCAGCAATTTCTGTGTTTTTTTTCAGATTTCCAACGGTCACAGTTTTTTGGTTTATTTTAAGCTTCTGTCCCATGTGAAATAATACTACTTAGCAAAGAAAGGAACACAAATAGATGTCAATTTGAATTCAAGCTTTGAATTGAAAATGTATTTCTACCATATGAATGTTTAACAAAACATTTTTAGTCAATTTGCAATTACATAATGTAATAGTGTTGAACTGCATAATGTAATAGTAACTGCATAATGTTAGTATAAATCAAAGTCAAAAATATTAGGTTGTAATTACCTTAACACAATTTTTGGACAATGAAATTGGGCGTCATTAATATAATGGCCAGGAATTTGCAAGCGGACCTACTCAGTACATGCCATTATAACTCTTTAAAACTAACGGCAACTTCTAGCATCTCCACAAGTCAGAAATCTGCAGGGCGCAGTGAGTATTATCCTGCTCCTACACAAGGTGGGCTTTTGTCATTTTTATTGATGCAGCCTGTGGAATCTTTCTGATTTAATGTGAACTTTTCTTATAGTATTCTTGCTGTAATAACCAATGAAGATATATCTTATTGAGAAAATGTGTGAGTTTTTATCAGCATACTAGGTCCTAATTGTGGCTAAACAACCTCTCTAATCTTGACAACTTTTTCTTTTATGAGTGTGCAATCCCCATCC